TTATTATTACTATTAATTTCGTTTCGAAACAAATTTGAAAAATTTGTCGTTGCTTAAAGTAAATTTACAAAGTGCAAGTCGTAAAAAAAATCCAACAAATTTTTTACTGTTTGATTATTTTTATACAATATATCAATCAATGATTAGTGTCAATGTATGTGTGTATGTACGTGTGTATGTATATTTATATATACAATATGTGGGAAACAACCGATTAAGACGTTCATTGGCGCAACAAAGGACGCACAGTATTATTATTAGGTTTTACTATTGTTTACAATTGGTTTATTTAAATATATATAAATATGACTAATCGTAAGTTTGCATTGACGGGTATATCTTTGCTCTCGCATAATCAGAAAAATTTACAATACATTTTGTAGCGCTTGCTAAAAGAACTTCGCTTCTACTAATTCTAAAGAAGAAATTATAAAAACAATGAATACAAATTTTAGATTGCAGGACTAAGGGAAGGGGTGGTACAAAAATTTAGCTAAATTAAAATACATTTTGAAGAGGCCGCTAATATCGAATGCGTTGGGATGGAATAATTATTGTTATTGGCTTTCCTTGTGGGGCGGGCAGATAAATAGAGTTTGTTGTTTGTTGACAAACATTCATGTACGTTCTCCTCTTCTCTTTTGTAGACTCACTCACTTTTATCACTGATTGTTTGTTTGTTTATGCAAATTGTATGTATTGTAAAGCTGTAGCAAACGCGAACAAATTTTAATTAATTAGCACTCCTGCATTCCGCCTCGACTTCGTTGACTGTTTGCTCTGAATTTGGGCACGGCATCTAGCCATTCTCACAATGATGACCCTCGCAGCTGCCCCAGAATATGCAGTTGCCGACGCCGCTGTAGCAGATGAGTGAGACGGCAGTGAGAAATACTAGGCTACAGATTGTACATGGCTTTCGTTCCAGGAAGAAGCCTATCAAATAGAGTACTATGAACATGACGTGCGTCTCCATCAGCGCTGGATTTGTGGGCTTTGGTATGAGTAAGACGGGTAGTAAACACTGCAGGCAATACATTTTCAGGCCGCTATGTTGACGTGTCGTTTATATCTCAGTCGTGTTGTTGTTATTGCTGAAAGCATTAAGAAGTCTGACTGTAATTGAGATAATACATATGTAGTAAGTCCTGGGGACGAGCGAGACGTCAGCAGTATTTATTTGTCTTGCTGTTGTTGTTTGGGTCACAGTTGTGTGTGTGTCTCGCATCGGTCACACAATTGCATACGTGCATATGGCACTTACCTTACTCAAATCCGGCTGTTGTCTGGGTTGCTCGTTGCTAATTTCAGCGTCAGATTATTGTGCGTATATTTGTTATCACACATCGCTCATGCTTCTTAATTTCTCAAATCATTTTATACATATGTACTGCGCTATCGTTATCGCATTTTGCAGCTGCAGACTTATCGTGATTTTTCACACTAATATCGATAGTCGTGACAAGAAGCAATGCTCCACACGATTGCCGCGGAACGATGATTTGTACTGATTCTAAAAATAGCTACTGTTTATTTATTTAACGGAAGACTTATTAATACATTGTACAGTCGGTTTTCTATGATATGACTAAATAATATACATAAGCCTTTATGTACGTATGGGACAATGAACTCTAAAATATGGCAACAATACAATGATTACAATATTTCCTTTTTGGCCTTTAGACATTCCAATAAAGCTTATTGCTGTACAGCGACGGTTCAGTAGCGATGGGCAGCAGGAAAATCCAACCAACAAGCCCTACTACATACAAAACTATCGCAAGAACACGTCGCCACAGATTCTGCTGCCAAAGATCCTGCACGTCAGGCAATCCCATATGGTTGCACAAAGCGTGAGCCAACAGAGGTGCTACAAAATGCCCCGTGCGAGCAAACAAATATGCCGAATAGAAGCCAAAGAGAGTCGTATAGGTGAACTGGAACACACCGATTAGCAACGCGGTACTAAGCTCCATGCCCATGCTCAATCTCTCGGCAATGTGATGCAGGTGAGCAACACCAAAGAATAGAGGTGTTATAAATACGGCAGTAATTGGCGGGTAACTTTGTAGAATAAGTGGCATCATGCAGGCGCGAAAGACGAATTCCTCACTCAGGGGAGCCATCACCAAGTTACGTATCCAGATAATGTTACTGCAGGAGCCGCGCCAGTAGTCTATATCTAAAAGCGATAAGCAAGACATGAATTTATTGATTGTGTCATGATAGTCAAACTCACTGAAGTAGGAACTGAACGATTCGTTCTGCATGTTCACAAATATAGGTCCCAGAAATAGAAGCGCTGTGAGCAGATAGGGAATCAGTACCGCCTGCCATAATCCCTCCAAGCGAAAGCCAATTAACTTCAGGAATGGCTCACGCTGCAGCAATTGTGGTGATGAGAAATAATACACGAATAGCGGCGCGATTACCATGACACATGATACGCTGGCAAATCGTCGCTTTATTGTCGTCGGATGATCACGATTGTGTTTGGTGCTCCATACGTAGAGACTGCCCACATAGATGATAGCCAAAACAATACAGGAGCTAACTGATATGAGGGGTGGAATATTTTGCAGCGTCTCCTGCGGTGGCAGTATAGCTATTGGAGGAGCCATTTCACTTAAATTTATTATTTATTTAGTTAAACGTTACTAGTTATTGAATAAACATTGTCCAAAAAGGAAATTTAAATTATATTTTAAAATAAAAACAGCTGCTTATAAAATTCTGGCAGAGCCCTATCTTTAAATGGTAGCTAATGTTAAGTTCTTACTGAGCAATGTTAATTAACATAGACAAATCCATTGGGCTAACGTCGCGACGTTTCTCCTTTTTACGTTACGTTGCTCACTTTGCGTTTACGTCCTCTGTTGATTTCAGTGCTGCTCTGTTAAACGACGGCGGCAGCGGCAGCGTTTGGTTGTGTGTTATTTAAACAAACCGAATGATTTGAGTCAATAAAAGTAGCTACGCCATATCACAATTAAGTTTCCATATTGAGCTCAGTTCATTGCGAGAGTGCAATATGTCGCTATTAATTAAAGCCGCTGCCACCACACGTCAGCTCATTCATAAGGTTTCTTTAACATCATATGTTAACTCAAATTGACCTTTGACTCAAACTCCATTTGCATTGTTTATTTATATCCAGGCACCAGCGTTGCAACAGCAGGTGCGACACCTGAATCTATTGGAGTTCCAGTCCAAGGACTTGCTGCAGAAGTATGGCGTAGCCATACAACAGTTCAAGGTATTGGATAACTCCAGTACTGATACGCAAGTGGTCAATTCATTTGGTAATCAAGCGTAGATAAACCGGTTGACATAAGCCCTAATTGTTGTTAATTATCATCTAAGATTGTCCCGAGTATGTGGTCAAGGCACAGATATTGGCTGGCGGGCGCGGCAAGGGTACCTTCGACAATGGTTTCAAGGGAGGCGTCCACATAACCTCAAAGTAAGTGGCCATCGTTCCATCTGTCGTCTGCTGTCGGCCTTTTGCTGTCTCTCTGCATTGATAACGCCGTCGTAGATAAGAGAAAGAGAGACGAACGACAGCCGAATAATAAACACAAGTAATTGCTTAGTACTTTCGCTTTGCAGCAAGAACGATGTGCTCGCGCTCAGTAAGAAGATGATAGGTAATCGGCTGATTACCAAACAGACGCCCAAAACGGGAATTCTCGTGAACAAGGTGATGGTGGCGCGCAGCGTGAATATAACACGAGAGACTTATGTCTGTATTCTGCTCGATCGCGAACATAATGGACCCGTGCTGATTGCTTCGCCAGCTGGCGGCATGGACATTGAGGCTGTGGCAGAGGAAACTCCGGAGAAACTGTTGACTGTTCCACTGGATATTGACAAGCCGATACCGGAAGATAAGCTAATTCAGGTGGCCAAGTTCCTGGAGTTCAAAGGCGACGCCATTAAGCGTTGTGCTGATGAGATTCAAAAGTTGTATACTCTGTTTAAGTCTGTGGATGCTGTGCAAATCGAAATCAATCCCTTGGCAGAGACTGACACGGGAGAAGTCATCTCCGTGGATGCCAAATTGAATTTTGATGACAATGCACAGTTCCGTCAGAAGGAGATCTTTGCCATGGACGTTACTGAAGAGGAGTCCGATCCCCGTGAGATAGAGGCATCCAAATATAATCTCAACTATGTGGCCATGGATGGCAACATTGGCTGTTTGGTAAATGGCGCTGGTCTCGCCATGGCCACCATGGACATCATTAAGCTGAATGGCGGTGAGCCAGCCAACTTCTTGGATGTTGGTGGTGGTGTCAAGGAGGAACAGGTGGCCAAAGCTTTTGAGATCCTCACTTCAGATCCGAAAGTGAAGGGCATTCTGGTAAATGTGTTCGGTGGCATTGTCAACTGTGCCACCATTGCCAATGGCATTGTGGCTGCCTCTAAGAAATTGAAGCTGAATGTGCCGCTGGTGGTGCGCTTGGAGGGCACCAATGTAAACCAGGCTCGCGAAATTCTGAAGAACTCTGGCCTGCCCATACAGACGGCCAGTGATTTGGATGATGCTGCGCACAAGGCAGTCGCCTCCCTCTAAACTGAAAAAACTTCCTGATTGTTAAAGACGCACACATTGGTTTAGCATTTAAACGTACAATATAAAGATAAAATATGCATGGATGGGCCTTTTATTAATTATAAGACTTTTACACAATATATAAATCAATATATTATGACAACAATGAACAATTTATTTAAACTAGTCATCGAAGATAAGAGAAGTTTGTCTTATTTTTTTAAAATACGTTTTGCCGCTAAAGCGAACGCAGCACAAGCCGCTGTTAAATAATAGATAGATTGCATGACAGTTCTGTACTATCGATACCAAGCTTAGTCACGAAACTGTTATTAGGAACTAGTTCGCTGTAAAATTCCAGATTGTAAGCAATGCATCAAATGATCTATTAAAATTGTTGCATGAAACTGAATATCTTGCTATTAAAATTATATTTCAATGCTTAACATTATTTTACATTATTTTGAGTTAAAAAGAAAATATTTAAGTCAAACCAATAAAATGCGGAACCAGTAAACTAGTTCCGTGATTCAGCCCCGCGAGCCGTTCAGTGGAACGAGTTCTAAGCGACTCAATACAACTCTACAGTCCACACCCTAAGCTTAAGAAACAAACATTCGAAATCTGTGAAAAAAACATTGCCAATTTTGTACCAAAGCATGCAAAAAGCGCCACATTTTGCACGCGAGGATTCCCAGGAGCATTTACCCAGTCCGCACAATACCGTCAATATGAAGCGCCGTACCCTAGCAGGCACATGTGGCGTTGGCGTCTTCATCTTCGCATTCGCCTTCATAGCCATAGCATTTGCAACGCCCAGTTGGCTTGTAAGTGATTACCGCATTACGGGTGCCAAGTTGGACAAGCTGGGCCTCTGGGTGCATTGTTTCCGTTCGCTGCCCGATGTGAACGATGACAGTCAGCGTCGATTCTTCGTCGGCTGTCGTTGGGTCTATGACCCATTTACTAAAGGCTATGATGAGATACGTGGATTCCTGCTGCCTGCCTTCATGATAACCACACAGTTCTTTTACACGCTTACGTTCATTGGCATGCTGGTCAGTGCCATTGGTGTGCTGGTGTTTTTCCTCTGCGCTGGACCAGATCAAAAATACTTTATTACATTAATTCGTTCCGTTGGATATGTGCTCTTGGGTGCGGGAGTCTGTGCAGCCATTGCAGTGATTGTGTTTGCTGTGTTTGGCAACCGCAATGGATGGATGCCGGAGCATGCGAACAACTGGTTTGGCTGGTCCTTTGTGATGGCATGCGTGGGCACGGTGCTGACACTGGTGGCTGCCACATTATTCCTCACCGAGGCGCATGTGCAGCAACGCAAGCGTCTGCAGTTCAAGGAGTCGCAGACTCGCTTTGAGCTCGTGCGTGGCTAGTGCACTTCGCATTAGCAGCTTCATACAGTGACAATAAAATCGGTAAGTAGATGTGGTATGCACCTTGGGCCAAGATAATAATCTTCAATCTTTTGCTTACAGCAGCACACAACAACAAAAACAAAAACAACACTAAAACATTCCGTCCCCACGACATTTCAACAAAGAATTCTCACCATATAATTAAATGTAGTTTTATGCAGCCGCTAGTTGAATGTTTATGCAATTGCCAGAGAAACATTTCCGCACCAGCCATGCCGCATACAATCCAAAGAGACTTTCAGTTGGTACTTATGAATCATCCAAACCACAGACTACTGTCATTCGCATGTTCTACGCTTGGTGATAGCAACTGCAACACTTCATCTCAATTTTAGCAATAACAAGAGCAGCAACAGCATAGCAATAGCGGATCATCAACGAAGCTCAAGTGAATCATTATCGCGTGTACATCAGATATTTGCATACGAAATTGCGCTCAATTAACGCACAATTCCACCCCCCCCCCCCCCCCCAGCCTCTGCCTCCGCTTTTGTTTTTCTGACGTCGCATGAGCCTAAAACACTAACAATTGAAACACTCGTGCCTTAATTAGACAGCTTTGCTATTATAGCTTATAGTGCCTTTTATAACAATTATGACAATGTTAGTTTCACATATCAATGCGACGATCACCAATTGGATTGCATAAACATCTACTAATCTAGTGCCTTAGTTAAGAATTCGATGTCCAAAAAAAGTATAAATGAGAATCGTAGTTAAGCAATTCGAAACGTTAACGTCCAATATATTTAATATTTAAGACATTCCCTTTGCTATTGAATACCTTACAAAATGTTTACCTGTTATTTATAGTAGCTCTCTATTAGTGCTTGTCCAACCTATCATACAAATTGTGTACCATATGCAAAGTATTGAAAAGTGTTTTTTATCATATATACAAACAAATTAACTTACAATATACACATACATATATGTGTAACTTTTTTGTACAAACGACTTTTTTAGCTAAAGCGACGAATAATAAAGATTTTTTATTGTATACAAACGAAGTGCATAGACTATTTTTGTATATAAGTATAGTATTATGCGAGTTCAAGGCATCTGCAAACCAACAACAATAGACCCGAAAATATTAACGTGGGAAGTTTTCCCATAAGAGTGCAGTTGTGTTGGACAAGCGAAATGAAAAGGTAAGCTTTGAGCTTTTGTGCAACACTTTGCAGTGTGCAACAGCGATTCAAGTTTCTGGATGGAGTTGACACATCTTTAGGTTGTGTGATATAATTACGATTGGGTGTGGGGCAGCTGAATTAGATATTGGATTTGTTGTTATACTTTTACTTAGCATATAATAATTGTATTTATACTAATACTAGGTATTTAGTTGTTCACATCCAAAATTCTTCATTATTCTTTAATGCTAACACATTTGAGCTCTTAGAGTTATTTTAAGATGCCTTAAAATGCAAAATCAAAATTTAATTAAAATTTCAAGTCTATTTGGGCATAATTAGTCAGGCACGTCGGACTAAATGTAACCATAGAATTATGAAACCCACGCATACAGTTGCCAAACTTGGCAAATAGTTTATTTAATTCGTGAGGACGTGTCGAAAATGCTTTAATGTTATTGAAGCGTGAAAGATCAGAAACGTAATCCGCATTGATGAATGGATTAATGATGAGT